CGACCCATAGGTTGAGAACCGCTGTCTTAAAACATACAGGGTGTTAATAGAATAGAGCTTCCTTCTTGATGACCGTATGGATGACTGGATTCCAGGGAGTGAAGCATTGCCATCTGGCCTGATTGTGGTCCTCCTGCATCCTCTCCAGAATGTTGGATGTTCACAGCTCCTGGCTATGTCAAGAGAGCCTTGGGATGAAATTTGTCCTCCTTTTCCCCACCCGTTCCTATTCAGTGGGATGAAGGAGGATTTGCTTTCGAAAGTTCTTCCAAAGATGTGGAGGTAGAGGAGTTTTCCTGAGTGGATGTCAATATCCTTCCACTTAAATAAGGACGAGATATTTGAAGAGGGACCATTAAGGTCACCTCATCCATTATACCATCGTCCCTCCAGCCATCTGCCTCCTCTCTGTATCCCAATGTTTCCATCCCATGCCAGGAGAAGCCATCAGGAGGAACATCTACTAGGAAGCTTACAGAGGAGCAGTACTTATCTCTAAGGAGGTGCCTTGTCCTCAAAAAAAAAATATGGTTGAGGTTCTCCTGCTCCTGGGACAATTTGGAGAAATCATTCCTCCAAGTAGCCTGCCTGTGAATTTTAGGAGAATTTTTTTTAAAAAAAATATGGAATCTGGCCTGATTGTTGATAGGCTTCGATCCACTGGAGTTATTGTCCCCATCAGCTTTTGGGTGGAAATAAGTGACAATTTACTAAGATCAGACAACATGGAAGTAAGCTTCATGAAACCAAATAGCAGTTTAAGATGGTGGGATTGATTGATTGATTAATTGTTCTTTCTGCCGTCTTAACTATCTGTTGGAGTCTGTGCCTGTCTTGTTTGGTTGCGGTACCAAACCAGAAGTTCTAGCAGTTTTACTACTTAATAATTTATTTGATATGTATTTAAGAATTACTAGTTCTGGTAATTATTACAGACAAGACGGAAGATCTGTTACAGAGAAGAAAACGGATACATCGGGCCACGTGTCTCACCATTTGCAACCAGCATGACCCCATATAGATCAAGGCATCAAGTGAGTCAAATGCTCTTGTAAGATCAATACAGTCTCCAGGTCACAAACGGGAATGAGTAATGCCATTGGGAAAGTACACAGGCCTTGCTTTGACGCAAGCCTTTGCTCACAGATTAAAAAAGAGAAGGGGGGGGGGTAAACAGCCTTTTCTGCACAGAAAATCCTTCATGCCAGCTGTTCTCCAAAGCTTCTTAAAAGCAGAGGACATTCTCCCCCTTTGCCCAGCACATACATCAATTCCTGTGATCCAAGTCTTCCATCCACTTTTCATGTGGACACCATCGTTCTATTGCTCTCTGCAAACATGTTTGATCAGCATAACAAGGGACGTGGGGCTCCCTCAACAATTCTGTAATCTTGGCAAATATATTGTCCCAGTTATGGAACATAAAGAGAACGGCCCCCATCCTAAAAAAATCTTAATGCTCTTGAAATGGAAATCCAAGTCTCTGGATCCAGTTGGGTTCCACATACTAGGATTCAAGGGGATGCTGAAAGCTTTGCTCCATAGACCGCTATGTGAGTCTAGCACAGGGGTCTTCAAACTTGGCCCTTTTATGACTTGTGCTTATTTCATGATTCCACATTGAGCAAACCCCCAGAAAATAGACTAAACAATAATCAAATCAAGTGTGGGGTGATCATAACAAAAATAATCCTTTCAAACAAATGTGTAAAAATAATTTATAGATAATATAGCATGTGGAAAGCCTATGGATTCTATAGCTTCCATTTGGTAAGATTTAATTTTTCTGGTTCATCTGCCCAACCATTGTATTGTATTAATCCTACCCCTAACCATCTATCAATTAAGAAAACCATTCACATTGTGGTACCCTCAGATGTGTGTAGTGAGAATTCTCCCATATCAGCACTTCTTAAATAGATTGGGGGAAGACTTAGGTAAGCTTGATCTAGAATGAGAAATATGGAGAACCGATTCAGCTAGCCGCCTTCTGCTTGTTTAGTTTTACCTCTCCATACTTCCACCCAGGAATGAAAGCAGGTAATGAAATTAAAAACTAAGTAGATAATCGGGAAAACCACATCACCATCTTCCCAGTTCCTTAAGACAGCGGTCCCCAAACTTTTGGGCACCAGGGACCGATTCCGTAGAGAAAGGTTTTCCGCGAACCGGAGGGGGCATGGTTTTGTGTGCTGCCTGCATCCCATGGATGGGGCTTTGCTTGTTTGTGTGGACCGGTTGGGGACCCCTACCTTAAAAGAGAGAGGACTCACCCAGCATTCCTTTGTTGGAACTTGATAAGCACATATCCTTTTCAGCGCTGGGCAAGACAAAACCAACCACGAACACTTCTGCTCCATCCGCCATCAGGGCCAAGCCCAACACAATGAAAAGCATCCATTGGAATCGTCCATGGCCACACTCCACAATGATATTCTCATACTGATGGGCCAATTGCTCTTCATCTTCCATTTTTTCTGCTATTAGCTCGTCATGATCTCTGAACTCATTGGACAGACCGGCTTTCTTCTGCTTAGGCTTGTCATCTGGATGAGGAATGCCCTGGTACTCTCCTTCGTAAACTTCATCATCTTCATCATGGCCTTCTGTAGCATCACTCTGAGCATCTTCTTCCTGATTGGGCTCCCCCCCAGTTTGATAGGTTGGGTCGTTGGGAGCATAACCTGTGTAGCCACCATCCTGGTAGCGATAGTCATCAAAGCCATGTCTCCCCAGATTTCTGTGGCCATCATCCATTTTGAGCAAATAGGTCTGGCTGGACAGTTATATTTATCAATGTTTGTACTGTGTTCGTATAAGTGGATATATTTTAATCTGTTCAGTTAACTACATGGGCATAACTGCCCCTTTCTTTGAAGATGTGCTTTATATGTGATCAAAGCACCACAATTTAGATGAAGCTTCAATTAAGGAATTGTATCCTTCCTAAAAAAGCATGCCATGATATTTTAGCTCTGCCTTTTCATGTCTTCTGAAGGCTTCAGCTGTCAAGCGATGTTGGGGGAGGAAAATCAAGGGGTCAGCCACTTTTGTCATCAGGCCCTAGTGAGTCTTGATAGAATGCTTGCTTTCATGGTCCATCTTCCTGTGGAAAGTCAGATCCTAGAGAAGAAAAAGGAGAAAAAATACACAATTAAATGCTTTGAAAGGCAGAGAAAGGTCATGTCGTGGTATATTTTCTGACATATTTCTTTCACAAAACCTTCCTGGTAGAATAATACCAAAGGAATTTCAAGAAAAGAATTTCAACTCGTCTGGAAACATTTTATGGAAGGAGAGAAAAGGGCAGCTAAATATATATTTAAAGACACTGTGGTCCCTAAAATGTCTTTGTGTATTCCATTTATATTCCATATTTTGTTCAGGTGCTCAGGCTTGGCTAGTCCTCCATCCTCTTCCTCCAAGGCATGATTCAGTTTGAAACTCGGTGTCAATCCGGAGTGAAGCAGGAATCATGATGACCAAAAACATAACTAGAAAACTAACATGTTGTTTCCAGCAATGCCTCCATCTGTCTGCTATGATAAATAACCAGCTTCTGGTGCAGCCCATCAAAACAGGCGGAGCCCTCTCCTCTCAAGTAATCTGGCTGACTTTTCTACTCTTGCCTTTTCCCTGCCTTATGTGTTCTCGGATCAGGCACTTCCTCCTTCTCTTCACTGGCCGTCTGCCACTGTAAGCTTTCCCTAACTGGAGCCTCAGCCAAATCTCTTCTGGCCAGCCATTCAGAGCTATCAATCAACTCAGGAATTGGCTCACCCTCCCCCGAGCTGACATCTGAGGAGGTATCTGAGGAATCATTCAAGGGAGACATCACTGTTTCTGCCTTTCAATGGAGCAACATTTAAATTCACATATTTTCCTAATTTGAAGGTCTATTACAAGTCCCACAATGGAGGAAGCACCTTTGAAACATTAGAGACACATAAGCTTTGCAAAGGGAAAGAAAATGGGGAAGCAGAGGGGATTTTCCAGAAGTATGAGCTTTGCTAATTCTCCACTTATACCGATCTCTGGCATTGCCATAAGCAGCCCATACAATACAGCAGAATCGGTTTTCTTAGAGGCCTGGATTTTAGCTGCTCTTTTGCCATTCTTTTGCACATGTCATTGTGCATTCCTATTCTCTTGCATTCTCTGCCACACATAATTGTGCATTCCTATTGCATTCCCAGGATCCTGGAGTCCCCAAAATCATGAATTTCAATCAGGATGGCGAACAAACCTTGGAAGTGAATTGCCCAGAAAACCAACGAACAGCTTGCGACTCCAACAGAGCTTTGGAAAGACAGAGACACAAACAAATTTATAGCTCTGACTTTCAAGGTTTCCTTTCTCTTTCTCTGTGAGGAAGGGAGCATTAGCTAATGAGCCGTGATTTTCGATTCCACTTGAAAGACTAGTCATCTTCTGGATCCTCTTACAGAGCTTCAGGCCATCCTCTCCATTTCAATGACATGGGGGGAAAGGCACAAACGGTCTATTTTGACTCAGCATTTGCAGCGTTGTACTGAAATGCACCCACGTCCATTACGAATCTTGCAGAAAATGGTGTGAGCTGCAGCTCACTTTATTTAAGCATCTGATGAAGGGAGCAACGGCCCACGGAAACTGGCCAGTGGTGGGATTCAAATAGGTGAACAACCGGTTCTCTGTATGGATGCCACTTCCGGAAGTCCATTCTGGGCCTGGGCCACAAAAAAATCAGCTACCAGTTCTGCCAAAGTGGTGCAAACTGGCTGAATCCCACCACTGAAACTGGTTCCTTTTTATAAAATGTGTCGATTTTAAAAGTTGCTATCAGACTCCTCCCAATCTCTTGCCTTTCCTGTTCCTAGCACTGACTCCTCGCCTGCATTTTTGCATACTTCTGTGGATGCATCTGATTGCTAAAAAAAAACAAAACATTAAAAAATCTAGCAGTTTATTACTGTGATGCATTTAAAGAGATAAAGCTTCACTGAAAGGAATCAGTTGCAAGGTGACATTCCGGTGGCCTTTGCAAAAATCAAATCTGTACTTTAAACAGATGGTTCGGTGGCGGTGGGGATGCTTGTGATTTTAAAAGTGAGGCAATGTCTCCAAATCCATGTGATTTCTTTGGAACAAAAACTGCAAAAAAAAAAGGCGATTGTGTCATCGGAAAGCTGAATCACATTGTTTGGGGTTTTTTTTAGATACACACCCCCATTGCAAGGGAGAGACTTTTTCTACTTTTCATCTTTGCTTCTCTCTCCAGGAAGATATGCAAAGTAATAATGCTCATTAACATCCAGAGTGAGAAAAAAAGAAGTCTCAGTCCCTGCTTTGAGTGAGAATCTTTACTCAAAATCTCTACAAAGCAGCACAAGAAATCTAATATCTCGATTATAAATCTAATAACAGTTTGGTCTACGGGTGAAGGCACCAGGCTATAAACTGGGAGACAGTGAGTTCTAGTCTTAGCCGTGAAAGCCAAATAGGTGACTTTGGGCCAATCATAAAGAGACTCTGAGTTCTAGTCCCACTTTAGTCATGAAAGCCGGCTGGGTGACTTTGGGCCAGTCACGTTCTCTCAGCCCAGCCCAGCCCAGCCCATAGGGTTGTCATTGTGGGGAAAATAGGAAGAGAAAGGAGTATTAAGTATGTTCACCACTTTGAGTGATTTATAAAAATAATAAAGGCAGGATATAAATGAATACACAGATTTCAATATAAAACATTTGGTACCAAAGAAAAATACACATAAAATATAAACACATGAACAAGGTGCTTAAAAACAAACCAGGGCTAAAAACATTCACACCGAATAGATCTGATGTGTTTCCAAAAATAAGCATGGTTAAGGCCATTTGTAATTCCAAGACTAGGTGCTTGCCTGACCTAGACACCACAAAATTTATAGAGGGCCTTTGAATGTTGTACACCACCCAGAATCACTTATTTGTGAGATGGGCAACTCTACAAATTAGATGAATACATAAATAAATATCTTCCTTGCCATCTCCCTGTCGATCAGCAGATGGCTTGAGTTTGTTTGTTTTTTTTGTTTTTTTGCTTTTCTGATTGCAGATGGAATGCTAATGCATGCACAAATGCATGCGCAAACATTCCTTGGTATCACTACTCCTAGCTTGTAATCTTTCAACTAAATTATAAAAAGCCTCTTTGAATCCTCTGCAGAGAGAGGATTCACTATCAGGGTTAATATTGAAGGCATTCACACAGTTGTTCACTCAAACCTAGGCACAGGGAATAATAGATTTCATATTTGCAGGCTAAGGCACTGAATATTTCCATTATTTCAGTCAGAGTGATTCTTTTTTTTTTTTTTTTTTAAATCAACTTCTAATATTCCAAGAGGGCTTGAAAAGAAAAGAAATAAAATGACAAACGTGGTGTTGCAAGCTGCAGGAAATCCCAGTGGGGCTTATTAAGTGATCTACCTGTAGATCCTATGCTAGGAGCTAAAAGGCAACTGAAAGTCATTGTAATGTAATGCTGCCAGGCTGATTTCAGCACCAAGGCCAGCACCCACTCAGATTGAGAGACCCAGACAGACTAGTACCAAGATATGACAGGTAATCCTTGATTTAAGACTACAATTGAGCCCAAAATTTCTGTTGCTAAATGAGACCTTTGTTAAGTGACTTTTGCCCCATTTTACGACTTTTCTTGCCAGAGTTCTTAAGTGAATCACTGCAGTTCTTAAGTCAGTAACCAGGTGGTTAAGTGAATCTGGCTTCTCCATTGACTTTGCTTGTCAGACGGTCGCCAAAGGGACGACCCCGGGACACTGCATAACCGTCATAAGTGTGAGTCAGTTGCCAAGCGCCTGATCTTTGATCAAATGACCATGGGGATGCTGCAACAGTTTCAAGTGTGAAAAACGGTCATAGATCCCCCTTTTTTTAGCGCCGTTGTAACTTCGGATTGTCACTAAGTGAACTGTTGTAAGTCGAGGACTATCTGCATTCACCTATTCACAAAGGCCAAGGAAAACGCGTGGGTGTTTTTTTTTGCAAAACAGAAAATCCAGACCAGAAAGCGAGAAAAAAAATGCAGCTTCATTTCTGCAGAGATCCATGCAGCCGCTGACCCCATGAATTATTTAAAGAACCCGTTTTCCTGCCAATTTTATTGTTGCAAAGCTTTCCTTCTCGTGCACGGGTAAAAGGGCAAATGACGCTATTGCCTCATTAACAGGCATCTGTTTTCTCCAAGGAAAAGTGAGCAGACCTGAGGGCGAGCAATTTATTCCTATGAATAACTGAGGGGAGGAGTTACTTCCAACCTCAACAAGGCTTGCTATTTTAAAAAGAGAAAAGAGCACTGTAGTCGCTGAGGAAGTTATACATTCTTCTATGTTTCTACTATAAAGTCTATTGAAAATAGCTAATTTTGAGGTAGGGGTTTTTGTTTTTTTTAGAGAAGAGAATAAAAATAATTTCTTAGATTGGTAAATCTGCCCCTGTGATCCAAGACAGAAAAAAGAAGCATCATATAATGCAGTGGTTCTCAACCTTTTTAATGCCGTGACCCCAACCGGTCGTAAGTCGAGGACTAAACTGGTCGTAGGTCGAGGACTAAACCGGTCATAAGTCGAGGACTAAACCGGTCGTAAGTCGAGGACTAAACCAGTCATAAGTCGAGGTCTACCCAACCGGTCGTAAGTCGAGGACTTTCCCTGCCCGGGAGCGCCGCGCATGCGTGGTTCCGCCCCCTGTGCCGGCCGAGGCGTAGCTGGCAAGTGGCAG